CCAGCTCTTTTCCATATGAGCATCTGAACACCGTGCTGTGTGCTATGTGCTTACACACAGCAGTGCGCAGTCAACGTTCAGATTCTGGGTGGCCCTCCTGACAGAAAGCCTTGTAAGAAATCAAGGAAGAAGGGCTGCCATGCGCCACAGCTACTTCCTTTTCAAAACAAGTCCTAGATATTGCTAGAGACCACAGTTCTGAGTAAAAATGTTTCTGTCGGTTTCTACGTGGACACCGCCACCATGTCCATCAAACAACACACCCTGCCTGGAACTCGGACCTGGACGTTTGAAGAGGTGTGTGGCCAAACTGATGGAGAACTCCTCTGACAGCGGCGCTCGGGCACCTTCCAGCCAGCAGGTCCTACGAAAGAGATAAGCCGTTTCCGCCAAACACGTCTGTATCCAGCACTAGAATGCATCCAAAGGAAACACAAAAGACTTCTGACATCAGACACCTGTTGACTTTGGAGCATCCATATCAATAAACAGCAAAACACACACAGCAGATGTGAGTGGAGGGGTGGAGGGAAGTGAAAGGAATGTCAAGTATGAAAAAAAAATTAGAGGAAATGGAGACAGAAACGTCCAAATTCTTCCACCTCTGTAAATATGCCATGAATTGGGTTAATTTTTTAAAAATTTGGCCTCAGAACCGATTCTAGGGTGATATTTTCGGGTTTCCTTCCCTTAAACAAAAGTCTGGTTATAAATATTTAAAAAGATCATTAAGTATGTGACCTCAACCCCCAAGTTTGGCCCAAAATGCTCAGAGTATGTCTCCATAATGAATGACATGAGGAAACAGAATCAGTTTTCAAAAGGTTTAGCAATATTCACCTCACTATTTTTGTATATTATTTGAGAAAGAAAGCGTTGAGATGAAAGTTCTGATAAGGATTCTTCATCTCAATTCCCCAGAATCAGAAGAAATAGATACAAAGACTTCTGGGGAAAAAGACAGTTCAATTTCTAACCTGAATTTTTAAATGAAAATACAATCGGTGCCTTGCTTCTCAGAGTCCTCCTTCTCTGCCTGTCGGTGTTTCCTGACGGTCCGTCCCAGACTGTTCCCTCCCCACTGTCCACAGCCTCCCTGCTCTGTCTGTCCCATCTACTCTCTGGAGTGCTGGGGACCCTCAGACCCACCCCACACTCCTTCTCCAGCCCTGCACCTTGGTGCTGAACAGCATGCTCAACACCTGGAGTTTAATGCTTCAAAAAACAGAACTGATGCACACAAGAAAGTACGAGAGTTAACAAATGCGTTCAGCACGATTGCAGGATATAAGGTCAGCTGTTAAAAACTCAACTGTATTTGTTTACAGTCGTAATGAATAACTCTGAATGGGAAATCAATAAAACTATTCCATTAGCAATGTCATCAATAACAAGAGACCTAGGAGTTAATTTAACAAGAGAAGTCCAAGGACATTGCAAACTGCAAAACATTATTGAAAGAAATTAACTAAATAAATGTAAAGATATCCCATGTTCATGGACTAAAAGACTTTAATATTAGTAGGATGGCAATACTCTCCAAAATGATCTGTAAATACAGCATAATCCCCCTAAAAATCAGAACTGGCTTATTTGCACAAATTTCCAAGTAGGTCACAGAATTCATATGGAGATTCAAACAATCCAGAGAGCCAAAGCCACAGCGAAAGAATGACGCTGAGCCTCTTTCTCACTCCATGTAACTAAAGTTAACTCAAAATCGATCAAAAACCTAAATGTAAGACCTAAATCTATAAAACCCGTAGACAAAACATACGCTTGAACCTTCATGGTCTTAAATTAGGCAGTGATTTCTTAGTTGTAACACCAAAAGCACAAGCCACAAAAGAAAAATAGATCAACTAGACATCATCAAAATTACAAACTTTCATGTAACCACGAGATACCAGTTCACGACTACCAGGATGGCTATACTCGAAACGACAGGCAATAACAAGGGTCAACAAGGAGGCAGAGAAATCGGAACCTTCAGATACTACTGGTAGGAATGTAAAATGATGCAGCCACTTTGGAGAACAGTCTGGTAGTCTTTTAAAAAGTTAAACACAGAGTCACCATATAACTCAGAAATTCCACTCCCAGGTGTATGCTCAGGAGAACTGAAAACATATGTCTGCACAGAAACTTGTACACCCATGTCCACAGCAGCATGATTCATAATAGCCAAAAGGTAGAAACAACCCAGATGTCCATTAACTAATGAATGGTTAAGCAAGTTGTAGTAAATTCATACAGTGGAATATTATCCAGCCATAAAAAGGCTTGAAATACTGATAGCCACAACATGGATGAACCTTGAAAACGTGCTAAATGAAAGAAGTCAGACACAAAAGACCATATATTATGTGAATCTATTTATATGAAACGCCCAGAATAGGCAAATCTATGGAGACAGAAAGTAAATTATTGCCAGAGGCCAGGGCGGTGGGGCAATGCAGAGTGGCTGCTAATGGCATTGGGTTTTTGGAGAAACAATGAAATGATCTGGAATTAGGTAATGGCAGTAAACCTTGTGAATATACTAAGAGACACTGAATTGTATATTTTAAAGGGGTAAATGCTGTGGTACATGAATTATATCTCAAATTTTTTTTTATTCAGAAAAGAAAAAACAAATTTTCTTAACTTCAAAAACTCATCTCCTTTGTGAGTTTCCCTGTCTCAAGAGACCTTGAGTCGTCGGGACCTCTTTCTTCTCTTTAGCCCCACATTTCCTCAGGCTTTGGCCTTCATCTCTCTTGAACATCTTGAATCTGTGACTCCCCTCCATCCCCACTCCCACCATTACGATTCAGAATTTAATCATTTCTCACCCATTGACGGGAGCTGGTCTCCACGCTTCCAAGCTTTCCCTGGCCTGGTTGACTGTCTATGATTTAGCCAAAGGGAATGATCTTTCTAAAATACATGATCACTTTTTCAATTAAACCAAGATAATCATTTCTCTTTCATCTCCCTCAGAAGCTTTACTTTTTCTCTCATACATGTGAGTAAACATATAGATTCTGAAGATACAACCGTGAAAAGATGTGATCGCAGCCTAAGGAGCTTGCAGTCCAGAGGGCACCCCAAAAGCAGATGGGCACTTTGGGTGCATTGTGGTGAGTGCTGTGAGAGGGTCCTGATCAGGGAGCTGAGGGGGGTGGTGGTCAGGAGAGGATTCTCAGGAGTGGTGAAGTCGTAGCTGATTCCTGGAGAATGAATATGAATTAGTCAAGAAAAGAAAAGGAAAGGAAATTCCAGAAAAGGAGGGCCCCTGGGCAAAAGAGATTCCTTACGGAATCTTCCAAAGGCAGGGAGAAGTCGATCACTCAGGGTCTTTTATGGCCACGTGTGGTAGTCAAGTCTGTCTCTTTTTAAAAAATTCTTTACCTATTGAAGTATAGTCGACTTACAGTGTTTCAGGGGTACAGCAAAGTGACTCAGTTATCCATATATACACCTATCTTTTTCAGAGGCTTTCCCATTACCGGTTATCACACGACACTGAACACAGCTCCCTGTGCTCGGCAGTAGGTGCTTCTCGTTTGCTGGATGCTGAGGCTGCTTCCGCGTCTCGGCCAGTGTAAATAGTGCTGCTGTGAACACTGGGGTGCAGGTGTCTTTTTGAATTAGAGTTTTCTCCAGGTGCATGCCCAGGAGTGGGACTGCTGGATCATATGGTAAGTCTATTTTTAGTTTTTTAAGGAACTTCCATACTGTTCTTCATAGTGGCTGCACCAATTTACCAAGTCTGCACCAAATGTCTTTTCTCAAAAAGCAAGATATAAGGTCAGATGGATTTAAACAAAAAAGGGTCTGCGTAGCTGAATAGACAGAGGGTACGGGGTTTGAACAAGCCTGAACCCAAGCGTCTGACGTGTCAGTGGTGTGTGTGACCCAGGCTCTGCCCTGTTGGCCCATCCCTTGGCAGGTCCAGGGTCCGTGTCCAGACAGCTACCAACAGATCCAGGCTCAGACTGCCTGGCATTGAGACCCACCTACAGAAGGAGCTCTTTTTGACCAATAGTTCCAAAGACTGATTTTTCACTGGGCTGATGGAGACAGATGACCAAGCCTGCATCAGTCACTGTGCCAGTGAGACCACATTTCCCTCCCCTGTCAGCCTGGAGCTGGCTTGACCGGAGGAGGCGGAGAGGAGCGGCTGGGGATCAAAGCCCAGGGAGGGGAGTGGGGCGGGAGGGCCCCCCGAGGAGAGTCAGGCACTGTGACCAGAGGTGGGAGGAGGGGTGGCGGGCAGGCTGAAACAGCAGTGGCCCGTGAAACCACTCCAAGGCTGCTGGGCTCCTTCCAGCGGGCAGCGGGGCCCCGAGCCATGGGCCAGAGATGACTGCCAGCGGGGGCAGTGATGCAGGGAGCAGTCTGCAGGACAAGGACGTGGCTGCATCAGTTCAGGTAACATACTACTGCTGCTGGAGTCAAGCCAGTGTCACTACAAATAAAGGACACTTGGATTTGAACAATACCAAGGTGGCAGGACTCAGGGAACTGACTGAAGGGGGAAACCACGCGGTGGGGGTGCTGGTGAGGCGGCAGTGGAGTGTGACTCCCAGGTTTACGACTCGGGCAGGCAAATAGGCAGCGACCATTGACGCGACCTAGGAGCAGGGGCAGCTCTGCGTGGGGCGGGCGCTCGGTGATTTTGACGCACCTGTGTGATGCCTGAGCGCCGCAGGTTCCGGGTGCCCAGAGCTCCTGGCCCGAACCCCCGGGAGGACCCGACACGGGTGCAGTGGATGGTGTGCGGTACTGACTGGAACCAGGTACCCTGAGCTTTTACAGAGCGGTGATGCCTCCACCTTCAGAGAGCCTGTGGGTTGGCCGGGCTGGCCTGTTTATTGCCCTAAAACATCATGGCTCTTATTCCTGCCAATTGCACGTGAGGGACTCAGCTGGGGTCTTCAGGGTGGGCAGCTGGGCGCCCCACTAGGGGAAGAGCTGCTGGAAAGACCGCACATCCTTGCAGGAGAGCGACTGCACTTGGCACCTTCAGATGCCACCAAATTGTTGTGGGCGCCTCAAAGTAAAACGCAGCTCCGTCTAGCACTTTCTGTAACAGCTAACACGCGCAGTGTTCACCATCCGGCAGGCCTGGTGGTGAGCGCGCCCCCCGAACCCTCCCAGGAGCCCTGAGACAGAGGCCAGAGGGACCCCGCCGCCGGCCCCGGCCACGGAGAAGCCGTTCCGGGCACAGCGGGAGGCCCACCGTGGCTCCTGACTGCTCAGCTAAACTGCCACGTGCTATGTGCTCAACCTCCTGTGCGATGTCCCCCCACTGTCCTCCTTCATCATTTGTAAGCATTCACCAAAGACAGCTGAGCAGCCTCCTCTGCTTGGGGAGCCAACACAGGTTCTCCTAAAGCAGGTTGGCTCACAGATCTGAAAATGTCCTGGACCTTGGGAGCTGCCCCAGGGGAGTCTTTCCTGTGGGCAGAGGAGCAGGTGATGTGCTGTGACGTCACAGGTGCCGGAGCTGGGAAACCAAGTTCCAGCCCCGGCTCCTCCCCAGGCCAGCTGCTGGGTGACCGCGGGCCCGTCTCCCTGCCTCCAGCATCCTGAGCTGGCCCCGCAGGCCGCCCCACTCCCCTCGGCCTCATACTCCGCAGCCCCATGGACAAGGTGTGAGACTTGACAGAGCGTCACAGAAAGCAGGTGGCAGCTGAGGAAGAACGTTACCCTCAACGCTAACTTGGACAGAAGCGCCAGGTGCCTGCCTCCTCTCCTGCGCACACAGCCGTCTCTCCCTTGAAGGACAAGCGATGCGCAGGACCGGCGGAGCCTCACCTCCGGGACAGAACCTGTGACCCTGCTTGTTTCTAAATGCTTAGTTAGTGGTCTGGCGTTTCAAGGGGACTAAAACGAAAAAAGGACACCAACGTTCTGACGTAAGGGTGTCCACATGCTGCTTTCTCTGCGGGCCTGAACGACAGGCCGAGAGAACTTTGAAAATGAAAGTTATTATATTCGTGTCTTGGCAAAACATCTGCTTTCTCGTCTGTTCTGCTGACTTTGACTTTGAAGTGATTAGATGTGGTGTTTGGCAAAACCAGGCAAGGATTACGAATGGGTTCAATAAGAAAGCACGTGCTGTTCTAAACCGTGGTCACTTAACCCTCGTCTCAACACGTGACCTACTCCAGTCACTCTGCAGCCTGTCGCTCAAGTTCCAATTCCTGAGAAAGCCTGCATTTACAGAAACGGGGGGTTTATAAGCTCAGCCCTTCTGTTCTGCCGCAATTTTTAAGTTGTTATTAAATTTATAGCTCTAAGGGTCTGCAAAGCAATTGCCGGCTATAGCCTTGATCTCTTGTATGTTTGTTTGTTTGTTTTTAGTTTTTTGTTTGTTTTGGGGGGAGGTAATTAGGTTTATTAATTTATTTATTTTCATGGAGGGACTGGGGACTGAACCCAGGACCTCATGCCTGCTAAGCACTCACTCTACCCCTGAGCTGTACCCTCCTCCACCCCTGTATATTTTTTGAGCAGGAGTCATTTCTGACTTTTGATGTCAGACAGGGTCCTATTAAAATCCTATTGGAACACTCCAGAAGGACAGCTGGGTTCCGTGGGCATCGCGTCCATATCACAGCAAACTCACAATTACTGGAACTATTTCATCCAACGGTCGGACGACTGGGGGTCAGCTGGCTTGGCTCCTGGGGCGGTGCACTCCTCCAGGAGACAGTGTCCAGTTCTAACGTGGGGGCTCTGGCCTTTTGACCCCGAGTGCTTTCCAGAGAAGGCCTGCCTGGATGTGGAGTCAGGGTGGACACACACTTCAGAGACAATGTAAAGACGCCGGCGAGAGCTCGGGCTCTGAAAAGAGTTGTGAAGCTGCATCCTGCCAGAGTTTCCTCTCATTCCTGTATTTCTTTTTCCCCGTGGCTCCTTATTGGCAGCGAGCTGACTATTCTTCTGGGCTGTTTCTGAGTTTGTTCCCACAATGCTCCCCCGCTGTATTCTTCTATCTTCCTCGTCGCCCTTCCAGGACCTCTTTTTCCCAAGTCCCTCGCCCGGGTTTCCCTCTCTTTCCCCACGAGCCCGTTCATCCCAGCATCGCTGCCCTGTCAGCATCCTTCTCTGTGTCCTCTCCACTCCGCTCATCTAGGAGGAGCGGCAAACGAAAGCCACGGGGAACGTTCCCTGAGCCCCCGGCCAGAAGGGAGCTTCACGTCATCTGTGTCATCACAGTTATTTATTTTGTGCCTGTTTCTCCGTGATGAAGCAATTCAATATTCACATTTCTTTTTAAAAAAAATTTTTTTATTGACGTGCAATTGACTTACAATGTTAGTTTCAGGTGTACAGCAAAGCGATTCAGTCATACATAGATTATATACATTTTTCAGATTATTTTCATTATAGCTTATCACAAGGTATTGAGTACAGTTCCCTGTGCTGTGCAGTAGGTCCTTGTTATTTTATCTATTTTATACATAAAAATATGGAACATGGTGAAAAAATATGAAAAAGGAATATATGTTCTTATATGACTGAAGCATTGCACTGTACACCAGAAATTAACATATTTTAAACTGACTATACTTCAATAAAAATATATTTTAAAATAAATTAAATTAAATTAAATGCAGGACAATGTAAAAAAAAAACACAGAACCTATCACGAGTTTGCACGTCACCCTTGCACAGGGGCCGTGCTAGGCTTCTCCGCACGGTTCCAATCTTAGCGTCTGTGCTGCTGACGCAAACACTACATTCACACGCTGATTCGAACTATGAAGAGAAAGGAGTCTCCGCTGGTGGTTCAGTGAGAGAGCCGGGGCAGCACGGTCCCGTCCCCGCTCACCCCAGCCTCCCCACAGTCGCGGCGGAGCTGGGACGGGAGCTGGGAGGCGTACCGGGGATGCAGCCCACACTCCCGGTCTGGTGGGGAAGAGAGATGGCAACAAATATCCACAACCCAGTGAGACGTGATGAGGGCTGATTCGAGTGGATTCAGGTGGATTTCTGAGTTGGCAAGATAAAGGGAGCAGAGGTGCCTTGGGCTGAGAGAGGGAAGATCTCAGAGAGGACTGGACTCTGAAGAGAGACCTGGAAAAAACAAGAGACCCACAGGGCGGGTTCTGCTGACAGACACGGTACAGCCAGTCTAGACAGAGAGCCCCAGAGAGCCAAGGCACAGGGGCGGCACAGAGCATCGCCCAGAAACGGGCACACGTCAGGGGTGGAGAGAGACACAGCTGGAAAGCTCAGCAGAGCCCAGTGACGAAGGCCTCCATGTGCCAGAGCCTGGTTAAGAACCGTGAAATCGGGGCTGTGGGGGAGGGCACGGCTCAGCGGTGGAGCACATGCTTGGCATGCATGAGGACCTGGGTTCAATCCCCAGTACCTCTGTTTTTTTTAAAAAACTTAAAAAAATAAAAGTATATATGTGTGTGTGTGTGTGTGTGTGTATATATATATATATATATATATATATATATATACACACCATGAAATCATCCTATAGATGAGGAGAAAGCAGGGAAGAACTTTAAAAACCAAAAGTGACAGTGGACGCGTGTGCATGTCTGAAAAGGAACCGGGAGAGAGGAGGCTGACTGATCGACAGGACAGCTGTAGTAGTTCAGGGAGAGGACGCTGTGAGCCTGAACAGGAACAGACATGAGAGCTGGGGGGGGGGTGCTGGAGCTGGATTTGAGGATCTACTGTACATGGGGGGTGGGCAGGAAAAGACGGACTCAAAGATAACTTCACAAGTCTTTCAAGATTAGTGTTTTGAATTTCCTTTTTTATTGTTTCCAAATGAATGGATAATAATATTAGTAGCCCAAGTTTAAAAAGTGAGTTTGCAAAAAGGGAAGTTCGTGAGTTTCAGTTGGACGTGTCCACCTCCAGATGCTCGTGGCATGTTAACAGGCACTTGGAAGTGGGGCCACAGAGCCCAGGAAAGCTCTGCAGATTTGGAGAGCATCGATACACTGGCAGCAGCCGAAGCCAACGGTGTGGATGAGACACCACAGGGAAAACACTTGGACCAGGGGGAGAGCTCATCGGAGTCGGAACCCTGAGAATAACCAACGTGTAAGGGCAAGGAGCGAGCGAAGGGGCGGGGAAAAGCAGGAAGGTGGGAAGAGATGCAAGGCCGGTGTCTCAAACATCAAAGAGAGAAAAGTTTTTAAGAAGGGAGAGGACAACAATATCAGAGGCTTAAGGTGGTCAAATAAGAAACAAAAACCAAGCTGGATTTTGAAATGGAGAAATGTGTGAAACTTGAGAAAGTCAAGATAATGAGTCTAAGACCAGCGTGTCTCTAACCTTCAGGTCTTGAGAACCCTTTACACTCTACCATTATTGAGAAACCCAAAAGATTTTGTTTATGTGGACCATATCAATCAGTAGTAAACATACTAGATCTTAACACTGAGAACTTTTCAAAATAGTTATCAATTCATTAAATAATAACAAATCTACCATAAGCAACAGAAACAAAATGCATTTTTTTGCAAAAACCAATTAGATTTTTCGAAACCGGAGTTTCTTGGGGAGTTAACGAAAATGTTCTAAAATAGATAGTGGTGAAGACACTCTGAATATACTGAAGTCCACTAACGTGGACACTTTTAATGGGTGAGTTGTATGGTCTGTGAATTATATTTAGTGAGTAATAAAATGGTTAAAAACCAAGAGTGAGCACAGGGTGTTAATACATATATTTATGGGATGATTCAAGTACCAGGTTGCAAATGCTTATTGAATAATTTTAGTAAAACTAGTTATTTACTCTCACTCTCCTCTCAAACACACAAACAATTCAAAAAAAATTTTTTGAGGCTTTTTTTTAGGGTTAAGTGTGGACCATGGGGAAAAGAATGTCAGACTTCTCCTCGTGGAAATAAAATAATAGTAAATGATTTTATCGCTCTTTTTTCTCTCTTTTTAAAAAACAAGCTCATTGAGGTATGATTTACATGCCCTAAAACCCATCCATTTTACATCTACCATTCAGTGATTTTTGTAAGTTAATGCAGTCATTCAATTCCTCCCAATTCAGTTTTACAGCATCTTTATCACCCTGAAACGTTTCCTGCTGACAATCTGCCATCAGTCCCTGCTCCTACCCCAAGCCCACTTTTTATGTTTTGTCTCTACAGTTCTGCTTTTTAAAAACATTTCACATAAATGTTATCAGACAACATATTTTCAGTCTGGCTTCTTTCACTTAGCATAACGTTTTTGAAATTCATCCGTGTTGTTGTCTGTATTAACAGTCATTTCATTTTTTATTGCTGAATAATATTTCTTTGAATGAATATACACATTTCATTTATCAATTCATTAGCAGATGGACATTTGCAGTGTTTCTAGGTTTTGGTTATTATGAATAAAACTTCTATGAACAATTGTGTACAAATCTGGGTGAATGTATGTTTCTCAGTTCTCTTGGGTTGAATTGCTGGGTTATTGGTTTGCACATGCAAACCATCCACTGTTTTGCAAAGTGGCAAAAATATGAACACCCTGGCAGGATGGCTCAAGCTCCCTGGCAATGCAGCTGGAGCAGCTGCAGAAATGGGACAGGTAATGAGGTCCCAGGGATGGTACAGCAGCCCATAGCCCTTCCCACAGTGACACCCCAGTGACCTTCGGCAAGGGCTTCACCTCTGTATACCTCAGTGTGTGCACCTTTAAAATGGAAATACTAACAGTTTATACTGTTTGTAACAGTTTATAACAGTGTTTGCAGAGTGGTCTCCAAACTAGGGTGTCCATACTCCATTAGCACACAAACTACCATCATGCAAAAGAAAACATAAGAACCTCTATTTGTTTATTCACATCACTCCTTTGGTTTGTATTTTTATTTATGCTTTATAAGCACACGTAATGTAACAGTGTGGTGGGTCTGTCTGTATCCTTGACACTGAATTAGCAAACACAGTTTGTTGGTTCAGGCTCAAGCCGTGTTTTACTGATGGAGACTCCTGGTCTATTTCACCGCTTACCACATAGCCAGTGCTCAGTAAATGTTAGCTATCATCAAAGTAATATTTACAATTGTCATCACACCATCATGAGTAAGTCTGAAAGGATTAGTTGCACCACATTAGTTTATTTTCTTGCCACCATGGATGAGACTGTGAAATGCACAAAAGTCACAGACCAAAATTATCAGAATGAATGACACATCAACTCAACCACAAATAAATATTCCTTTTACCATTATCACTTGAAAGTATAAGAAAATATGGGGGGAGGGATAAATTAGGTGTTTGGGATTAGCAGATACAAGCCACTAGATACAAAACAGGTAAACAGCAAGGTCTTATGGTGGAGCAGGGGAACTGTATTCCATATTTTGTAATAACCTATAGTGAGAAAGAACATGTATATACGTGTAACTGATTCACTAGGCTGTACACCAGAAGCTAACACAACATTGTAAATCAACTCTACTTTAGTAAAAATAAATAAATAAACAAGAAAAAAAATTTTAAAGGATAGGAAAATATTCAGGTTAAGAAAGAAGGAAAACAGATTTTCACTTTCATGTCCTTAGTGTCAACAGCAAGTCCCCTAAAAAATATTTCCTACTGGGCTCGAGTTGGCTTGCACGGAATCAATTTCTTTTTTCTCTGACTTTTCCACCTCTACTCATGCGAAACACACGATCCCCAGATTGTGGGAATTCCAGACAGCTCTCCGTTCCGCGTTCTGCAAAGCGGCCGCGTCCAAGGTTTGGGCGTCTAATCTGGGAACGTCCTTCTGCAGCTCGGCCCGCTTCCCTGCCATTCTTCACGAGGACTGTGTGTACAGCACCGGACCTGCTTTCCCAGAAGTGCTTCTGGGACCTCGGTCTGCACAAAGGGGCTGCTCAATGTGTTTCCCTCCCCGCTGGCTCAGCTGACTCCCGGGCCTTGGGTCACACACAGCTCCCAGTTCCTATCAACTTTTCCCAAAGGAGCCCTGGGCTCCTGCAGGAGCCAGCGCTGCCCTGAACAGGAAGCTCTATTTACACTGTCTCAGAGCCCAGTGCTCATCCATAAAAGGGAAAAGAGTCCTTTAGGGAAAGGGCAGGGTGCTTGGAAACTCTTTAAAAGTGAAAGCTTTGCAGCCGGTTTCTGTAGCTTCACCCTGTTGGTTACTATGGTTTTTCAACATATGCTACAACCTTGAATGGAAAAGACTATGACAACGAATGTATGTCTGTATATGCAGGACTGGGACGAATGTATGTCTGTATATGCAGGACTGGGACGTTATGCTGTACGTCAGAAATTGACACGTTGTAACTGACTGTGCTTTGATTGAAAAAAAAGACTAGAAAAGCACATGCACTTTGTCTCGCTGAACAGTTGATCTGAAAGCTGACATGACTCTGAAAGCTGACATGACAATAAACAAAAAATGGGGGGAGGACGTCATGTGAATCTCCCAGAGTGCACACCTCGAGCTGTGATTTCTTTCTGTGGCCTTCCAGAACATAATTCCAGGCAGACACATTGGTTTCTACATGAATTATTCAAGCACACTTTAAATGAGGGAGCAGGGCTCCCTAGACACTAGAGTACCATGAGGTTCAGGTCTGTGGATGGCTGTTCCCAATCTCCCATGCGGCTGTCAGTGCAGAATCCTCTCCCATCAGCTGACAGACACAATGAGTGATCCGAATCCCAACATTCAACAAAAGACATGGGTACGCCAGGAAAGGATGCAGCTGGGTGAGGGCGGCAGACGGGGGAGGGCAGCA